TTTGTTTACTTCGTTCTGTGTTAGTTTTTAATTTGTGTACGTGTACGTTGCATCGTACGTTATATTGTGTATGTGCACAAATAAACTACATAGTGGTTTACCGCTAAAAATCTATCGATTCCAACTTCTATAAGAATAAAAATCGAAAATCGATAAGATTCATGACTTATTACACAACCCATCCCTACTAAATTTGAAATGAATTATCAAACTAATCTAAATTATTTAGACACACTATATATATAGTTTTTGTACTTACGTTTAATAGCTCCATCTGTTGGCCAAATCCTTATAATTCAATAACATAAATAAGCAAGCGAACATTTGTTAACTTTCAAACAATTTTAAGAAAGCAAACATATCAAAAGGTACATTGTAGGTTATAAAATAAAACTTCAATAATTATTAAAAAATGTATTCATAAAAATAAGTATAAAAACAATTGAGCTTATTACGTAACACAAATTAAAAATAACTGCCAAAAGAAGACAAAACATACCACAGTAAGCAAGAGTGAGATAGTTACAGTTTTGACAGCTTCTATTTTATAATGTTTTAATTCAACTAGACAAAAGTTTTAAGTCCATTCTGCCATAATTTGTACTAATGTTTATTTATTGTTTAATTATAAACTCTGCATTTAATAAAATTGAAGTGTCTGTTTGTAATATCACAAGAAAAATTCCAGATTTCAGGAAGATGATGTATTTGCATCCTGATAATAAAAATCGCATTTAATTATTTTTGTCTGTCTGTCCGCAAGTCGCGTTTGTTCCGACTAATCTCCGAAACGGCTGGGCCGATTTCGACGGGAATGAAGGTGACATAGACGGGCTACTTTTTTTATCTTAATATTGCGTGAACGAAGTCGCTGGCAACAGCTAGTTTATATATAAAAATATCTTAATATCATGCATTAAAATAACTGAACAGTTTTATTATATTTTGTTATGGCACAGACCTCTTCTTTAGTATTTATTTGTATTGAAGGTATACATCTGTCCAGTTACTTTCAACGTTTCTAAATATATTTTTACGTATAGAACAAATAAATATGTTACTTAATTATTTAATTTCATTTACAAGATAAGTATTTTGAATATTTGAGTATTTATATTACATTTTGTAATAGATTTAAGAAATTTGCATATAATATTAGAAGTACACAACATATACATATTTCTACATAAAAATAATAAAAAATTATTTACGTATACTAGAGGTGTGCCTCCAAAGGGATTAAAAATATACATAGAGAAGGCATAGTTGACAATTGACGACATTTCACATAACTAACGCCATCTATTGATACATCCTCAAAACATGTCAATATGATTTGTTTTTAAATAGTCAATATGTCCGATGAAATTGTATGGAGCTGTTTTATCTGTGGCATTTTAGTTTATTTACAACAAAATATGGAGGTTCTTATAATTGTCTAAATTTATTACATGTCATTACAAACACGAGGTGGCACTATTCTTAACAACTGACATAGTACCTTTCTGAGAAAGTACCGGTGATGAAATTTGTTCACTTTATACATTATTTAAATGTCTTTAAGCAGAATAATAATAGTTTGTCTAAATAAGATTGATTAGTTTGATAAATAACGCATATGAAGTATTGAATTCAATTTGTATGAAAGCAAATGCCGTACTTAATAGACAGGTATCGTAGTAAAACAAACTCGCAGCGAACAATTATGAACTATCGATATTCGGTTTAAATAATTATCGAACGCAACTAAAATTATTGTTTTCTTATTAACTAATTTAGAGG